TATTTTTTAGTTGGCCAATTAATTTCTTTCTATTTATAGTAGAGACGGGGTCTCGCTCTTGCTCAGGCTGGTCTCCAACTCCTGACCTCGAGCGATACCCCCGCCTCGGCCTCCCAGAGTGCTGGGATGACAGGCGTGAGCCTCCGCGCCCGGCTTCATGATGGTACTGACAAGAGCCTGGGACCCCAAACTCGCTGTGCAGCAAGAACAGAGCGTGATGAGCAAGGAGGAAGGAGCATGGGCACAGGGGGGCCAGGCCCTGGCAGAAGCAAGACCATAGGCACAGCCAGCTGGGCCAGTCAGGGAAACCGAGGCCCCACGGGTTGCATCACGGGACTCTCCACCAGGACCCTGCACACGGCAACACCGCAGGCCTTTCAGGGAGGGAGGGAAACCTTGCCGGGACCCAGCGATGAGCGGACAGGACCGGGAAGGAGACGGCCCTGAAATCTCCTACAAGTCGGTCAGCGGGAATCCCGCTCCACTTCGTGCACCGAGATTCACTCTGAAAAAAGGGTGTCTTTGCAGGCGCCCAAGGGACGCCCACAGTCGTAGGGCTGCACGGCCGAGTCCTGGGAGACAAGCCTCCCTTTGGGGGAAGGGAGACACATGCTCCTTCCCACGGAGACGGCGGGACGGCAGTGGCCCTCGGCAGGGAGGGGAGCCTGGCGCTGGCTGCAGTCTGGCTTCCACTCCCCCAGTTCTCAAAACGGAACTTCTTCCTTAAAATGGTGTCTGCCCCACAGAGCTGGTGCAGGGGTAAAACGAGCCTGTTCGTGTGCTGCACTAGACCCTGCTCTGGGTGCTGTAGATACATCATCGAACAAAGCAGCCAACGAGCCCCACAAATCTTGAACAGGAGACGCAATACATGAGGGTGTCGCACAATAGGCTGAAAGGTGGTTGGTGCAAAGGACAAAAGAAAAAGGGAAGCCCAGGGAGGGGCTGGGAGTGCGGGGTGGTCCAGGTGGGCCTCACGGAGGAGGCGACTTCCCGACAAAGGCCAGGCGTGATGGAGCTGGCCAAGCGAGCCTCAGTCGGATGTTCCCGCTTGTGCAAGAGCCCTGGGGTAGGAGCCCAGCGGGAGTGCTGCACTGCAGCAAGGAAGGCTGTGTGGCCAGAGGAGGGTGACCCAGGGAAGACAGGGAAGATGGGGAGGTGGAGGCAGAGGGGGCCAGACAAGACTGCTCGACCTTGCCGGTCACCCCAAGGTCACTGCCGTTATGCCGAGCGAAACCGGAGCCACTGCCGGGTGCCCAGAGCGTGCAGAGTGTGCGAAAACACGTGGCTACCGCTCCTGCTAATAACAGCAGCGGCCGGGCGCGGTGGCTCACGCCTGTGATCCCAGCACTCTGTGAGGTCGAGGCGGGAGGATCGCTCGAGGTCAGGAGTTCAAAACCAGCCTGAGCAAGAGCGAGACTCCGACTCTACTATAAATAGAAAGAAATTAATTGGCCAACTAAAATATATATAGAAAAAATTAGCCGGGCATGGTGGCGCATGCCTGTAGTCCCAGCTACTCGGGAGGCTGAGGCAGGAGGATCGCTTGAGCCCAGGAGTTTGAGGTTGCTGTGAGCGAGGCTGACGCCACGGCACTCACTCTAGCCCGGGCAACAGAGCGAGCCTCTGTCTCATATAAATAAAATAAAATAAGATAAAATAAAATAATAATAGCAGCAACCCACGCCGTGTGCAAGGAACACTGCACTGCACACACAGGTGGTACAGACGGAGAAGACCCACCGACCTTAGAGGTACCCAAGGTGCAACTCCTTCCAGCTACGGGAATTCTCCCCTTGTGCAGTACTGCCCGTTACAGCTAAAGGAAACTAAAATTCGGATAGAAATAACGGAACCTCTCTGAGATCACACAGCCAGTATGTATGTAACAGAGCTACCGCCTGTTCTGTTGCATACATCCTAGCTGTGTGATCTCAGAGAGGCTCCGTTATTTCTATCCGAATTTTAGTCTGCATCACCTAGTGCCAGAGAATTAGGGGGCACAGAGCAGGTTTTGCTGTCATGCAAGCAGCCAGGGGCATGCACACAAAGATGCCGCAATGCCTGCCTCGCTCACTGTAGCTCACGCTAAATACCTGCTGGGCATACCCAGGCTCTGGCCCTCTCTGCTCTAAGTTTTTCCTCTGCTTTTTAACTCCCTTCCCGGATCACTAAGGCATCAGGCCCTGCCGGGGACCTAGCGTCAGGACGGGGAGACAGCTGCCTCCCCAGGCACAGGCCGCTGGCCGCAGGCTGGGCCTAGCTCTTGCCACGGGAACCCTGCCTGGAGCCAGTCCCCAGATGAAATTGTGCTGCCCTGGCGTCCCACGGTGGCCCGGAATCTGCAATGCAAGCCTGCCCTCTCCCTTCCAAAGCCAAAGACGGCAGTGGAGGCCAGCAGGGTCTTACACCCCGGGGGTCCAGAGGGGTTTCTAAGGGCAGGTGGAACTTCTAAGGCAAAGCTCCTGGCCAGGGGTGACGGGGGTGACAAGAAGGAGCTGGCAATGGCCTCTTTGGGGGCCCTGGAGGGGAACTCGACCTTCCTCCCGTCCTGCACCTTCTCTCCCTGTTCCTAGCAGGAGATCCCTGCCAGCAAGGGCTCAATGCGTGAGAAGCAGCAGCTCAGGACCGGGAGTCACTCTGTGGCCCAGATGGTGAAACCCAAACCCAGGCGCGGGAGGTACCAGGGCGTCGCCTCCCAGGGGCACTCGGCTCGCTGGTGGGGACGACTTAGGGCCGGTTCCCCACCTGAGCTCCCGCTGCTGGCAGCCTGGACCGGGGTGGGGGCTGCTGGTGGAAAATGTTTTCCCTTCGGTTCCCTTCTCCTTGGCTCCCGGGACCCCTCTGGCGCTGCCTCCAGGGGGTTGGTTAGCAGGGAGCAGACCAGGCCAGAGCTGAAGAGTGGGGGGCAGGGAGGGCGGGGAGGGACAGAGATGCCGAGGTAAAGGAAAGAGGAGAGCTATTTGGGATTCGCCCCTAGGGCTACGTACCTGTCCAAACCACCCGTCCACCCCAACGTTAGTTCCCTTCGGGGACCAGGCCGCACCCCTCGGACGGTTTGGGAGGGGCAGGCTCGGGGCGAAGGCTGGGGTAGGTAACGGGACGCAGGCCGGACTCCAGCTTCTGCCGCTTCGGGGATTGATCCCCCCCCTTTGCACGGAGCAAAGCGGGGGCCGCGACCGACCGGCGAAGAGCGCGTGGAGACGCGGGGACCCGCGATCCAGGCGCAGGAACCCCGCCCCCGCCCGGAAACCTCCAGGGCCCTGAGTCGTGCCCGGCGCTCCCCACCCCACCCCCACCGCCTGCGCCGTCACTCACGGCCGCTGCCGGCTGGCTCGCGGGGCGCTCTCCGCGCTCGGGCGCCTGCTCGCCGGGCGCTGGGCGCTCACTTCTTGCGCGCGCACTGCAGACTCCCGGTGTCGCCACCGCCGTCACCCAGCCTCGTCCCCGGCCCGGCACCGAGTTCCGCCTTTCTCCCGGCCCCACCCGCCCGCCATGGCCCGGGCCTGGGCCAAAGGACGGTGCGGCTCGTTGCCCGGACTAGGGTAAGGAGTTAGGGGCCCGGAGCCGCGGGAAGGACGGCGGGACGCGGGGATGCGCGGCCGCCTCTCCAGCGATGGAGACTGGGAGACGCCAGGGAGAGTTTGGGTGGGAGGACCCCCAACCCCGGCGGCTGCGGAGAGGGGCGGTGCGGTCCAACCGGAGAGAGGGGGGTCCCTGGGAGCGACCCGGCGGAGGAGAGGGGGCGCGCTCTGGGGCGGGGCGGGGCGGGCCGTGGCAGGAGAGGGGAGGCGGGGGTGATGCAGTGGTGGAGGCGGCTCAGCGCCCAGCCACTGACCGCCCCCTCCCGTACCCTCCCCTCCCCCTCTCCCCGCCTCTCTCCGGCTCGGGTCTGCCTCGCCGGACCGTCCGCGCTCCCCGCGCCGCGCCGGGTCGGACGCCAGGTCTGCGCGCCGCAGCTGAGCGCCCACTCGCCTCGCGGAGGAAGCCGCGGAGAAGCCCGCGGGGGCGGTAGCGCCGGGAGCCGAAGGAGGTGGCAGTCGGGAGCTGAGCCAGAAGGAGACCGAGAGGCAGAAGCCCGCGGCTCCGAGGCGCGCACTCCCTGGGCCAGCGATGAGTCCGGGCGCGGCCCGGTCCCTGCCCGGACCGCCGCCGGGCAGAGACTGAAACGTGGACCCCCAGCGTCCGGTGGACGCCCGGACACAGGGAGGCACTGACGAGCCTCCGGTGGGACCTGCCCCCCACCCCCCGCCCCGCACACCCAGCGCTGCGCCCCCCGCCAGAGCCGTGCTGGGCAGACCGGTGAGGGAGCGGGGCTGATTGGCGGCCGGCGGCCAGGGGAGTGGGCGCCGTGGTGCGGGGCCATGGCAGGCTCCGACGCGTCCTAGCCGGAGCCGGAGCCGGAGTCCACGCTGTCGCCGCCGCCGCTGCAGCCGCCGCCTCTCAGCGCCCGGGCCCCACCGCCGCCGCGCCGCCCGCGGGAGATGGAACAGCGGAACCGGCTTGGCGCCCTCGGATACCTGCCGCCGCTGCTGCTGCACGCCCTGCTGCTCTTCGTGGCCCACGGTGAGCGCGGGAACTCGCTGCCACCGCGGTGGAGTCGGGGGTCCTTGCTGGGGGCGCCGGAGCCAGCCTGCGCCGGCCGCCACCGAGGAGGAGGACGAGACGGGGGAAGGCCTCGCGGTCTGCAGCAGTCCCGGGGTGCAGCCCTGGCGCGGAGGGGCAGGGGAGGAGAGCAGCGAAGGGTCCCCGCAGCTGCGGCGCCCGCGCCTGGGTCGTCCGGAGTCCGGCCGGCCGGGGCTCGGCTGCGGGGAGCCGGAGTTGGGGCGCCCCAGCCTGGCTTGGGTCGAGCCGGAGGGGGGCGGCGGAGGGAAACATGAGCTGCCCAGCCGCCCCCCCGGACCCGGAGGGAAGCAGGCTGCAGCCTACTGCGTGCGTGCGCCCTGCAGCTGCTCCAGCGAAACTTGCTGGGCCGGGAGTGGCTGGGGGCGGGCGGGGGGCGGCACGCGGCCAGCGAGCCGGCACAGAGGCCCGCCCTTGGGTTGCCCCGGGCCTCCGCCCTGCAGCTGGTCACGCCTCCCCACGCCCCCTCATCTCCCCCGCCCCCCAGCTACATTCACTGAAGTCCCCAAAGATGTGACAGTTCGGGAGGGAGACGACATCGAAATGCCCTGCGCGTTCCGGGCCAGCGGAGCCACCTCGTACTCGCTGGAGATCCAGTGGTGGTACCTCGAGCCGCCCCGCGAGCTGCTGCACGAGCCGGCTCTCAGCGCGCCGGGCGCCCGGAGCAAGGTAACCTGCGGGCCGCGGGGCCGGCGCGCACCCGGCTCTGGCCGAGGCTTGGTGGGTGGGGTGGCGCAGGGGGCGGCTGGGCTCGAGGATGCCAGGCGCCGCGTGGCGCAGCCCCGTCTTCCACCCTGGCATCCTCACAGCGTGGGAAAAGTCGGCCGTGGTGACCCCCACATCCTGTCCATTCCTTTGACAGTTTCCCTTCTCCCATCACCACCCGCCCCCCCCAACTCCGCGCGCCCCTGGCCCCTGAAATGAAGCCACGCCTCATTCAGTTCTCCTGCTGGCTGGCTGGCTTCGAGCCAGCGCCTGACGGGCGCGGGGTGGGGAGGAAAGCACGCCCTTGTGCCAACCGGGCTCTCCCTGCCCTCTGCCACCATGGGGCCCCAGGGCTCTCCTCGGCCGCCGCGAAGCCGAGACAGAGAGGGCCGTGCGCAGGGAAGCTGGCAGGTCACCTCCAGCCCAGAAACAGAAGGGTGGCCTCCCCGTAGACCCGAAAACGGGTCCCTGCCGACCGGGTCCCATGCCTCACATACTTCCGCACGCCAGGCGCGTCTCCCGCACAGTCTAGCGCGCGCGCGCGCACCGCGACCCCGTCACGCCTGCCCGCATCCTCCCGGGTCCCACCCCGAGCGCCTGCCCCTGTCTCCCGCTGGCCCTGTCCACACACACCCCGGCCCCTCCAGCCAGGCTTTCCCGGCTCCAAGTCGGGTGGAGGAAGATTAGGAGGAACGGGGCTGGAAATGGGGGCGCTCTAAGGAAGGGGGCAGGGCCTTCCTTCCCCCACCGCGGTGCGATCCAGCGCCCCCCCCCATCTCCAGCGGGCAGGTGCGCGCCGGGGCGGCCACGCGGGCCAGGCACCACCCCAGTTCCGAACCCGCTTCCCTCCCTCCGGGTAAACTCCTGCAAATCCAGACGCCCCCCCCGTGCCCTGAACCCCTCCAGCCCGGCGGTCTCGGGCCCAGCCCGCCTGCGGAGGGTCCCCTGCCCAAGCGCAGATCCCCAAGCCTGGAGACCGCGAGTCTGACGCCTCTTTCTCCCTCTTTTGCGTTTTAGGTAACAAATAAGGACGCAACTAAAATCAGCGTAAGTGTGGAGGAGCCCAGCGCGGGCCGCGGGGGACCCCTTCCGGCCGCCGCGCACCCCGCGGCTCCCTCCCGTTAGAAAGCGGCGGCCGTGCGTCGCCGGCTGTTCCCTCCCCGTTAGGAAACCACGGCAGCGGCGGCCGTGCGGCGCGTCGGGCGCCACCTGTCGCCCGCAGCGGGGTCGGGCTCTCTTTTGTGCGCATCGGGGGGTCCAAGGCCTGAGTCCCCCAGCCCGGCCGCGCGCGCTCACCTGTGAAGCCCTCCTGGGTCCGGATCGCGCGCTCGCGCCCCCCGCGCGCCTGCTGGCCTCCCCGGCTGCGGGCATTTCTGCCGGCGCCGGGAGCGCGCGGCTGCTCGCCCTCGCCGCCAACGGAGCGCGGCCGCCCGCCCCTGCGCACCGCCCTGCACGCGCGCCCGGTTCCCGCAGCTGCCCCTCCGCGGCGGCCCCCTGCGTCCGCCCGGGCTGCGGGTCCGGCTGCAGGGGTTGCGGGCTGCGCGGGTCCGCGGGTCGTGGGGTGGCGAACCGGGAGGAGATGCGCCCTCGCTCTGGCGGCTGGAGCGCGGAAGTAACAGTGCGGGGCCTTGCGGTGACCGCGAGGCCTCAAACTCCGCTCGTTGGCAGGTGGGGCCCCTGAGTGCCGCGGGGAGGCCCCTTCCCTAAGTCTCCACAGGGACCCAAGGGAGGAGCCCTTTGTCTGGGGCTTCAGGGAGGCGGCCACGTGGCAAGGCGGGTGCGCAGCAGAGTGGCCACGGGTTTGGGGGGGGCAGCCTCGGCGTCAGGAGCCTCCTTGGGGACAGAGGCTTAGCTGCGAAGTGGGGGGGGCAGGGACAGCGGCTTTCCTTGGGACTCGACCCAGGCACCCCGGGCTCTGGATGAAAAAGAAATAGGCCGGGGCGGCGGGCTCACGCCTGTCGTCCCAGCACTCTGGGAGGCCGAGGCGGGAGGATCGTTTGAGCTCAGGAGCTCGAAACCAGCCTGAGCAAGAGCGAGACCCCGTCTCTACTAAATATAGAAAGAAATTAGGCTGGCCAACCTAAAAATATATAGAAAAAAATTAGCGCCGGTGTGGTGGCGCCATGCCTGTAAGTCAAGCTACTCGGGAGCTGAGGCCAGGAGGATCGCTTGAGCCCAGGAGTCGGAGGTTTCTGTGAGCGAGGCTGATGCCACGGGCACTTACTCTAAGCCTGGCAACAGAGAGAGACTCTGTCTCAAAAAAAAAAAAAAAAAAATTAGCTTGGGAAGGTGTGAAGTCCAAGCGGTCCCCTGGGGCGCGGGAGGAGCTGGGCCGGTTAGGAAACCCGAGGCCCATCCTGAGGTTGCTTGACGGCGCCAGACGGGGGACCCAGGTGGGCTCTGCTGCTCTGAACGGAAAACCCCCAGGGAGGCAAGAAGCCGTTGGTGTGGGCGAGGGGGGCGCACGGTGGGGCATTTGGTCCAGACGACG